ATTTAATGTTCGGCTCCGCCCGAACTTAGACTTTCTTACTTGTTTTTTTTTTGTTGAAGGTGTTTTGCATTTTTTCCATATAAAGTATTTTAAAAAAAAATTTATGTTTGGAAGAGACTGCGGAAAAAATCCAAAAATCAACGGTAATCCGTAGCTACTTTATTACAATAAAATTGATAAGGCTACAAATCTGCATACTCAAAAAAATTCTAAAAAATCTGATTAAAAAGTTGAAAATTTTCATGAAAAGTTGCTGAATTTTCGCGACTTTTGCACAAAGTTTAGAAATTATGTTTTTATGGTTTTTGTTGTGGAATGAACCATATTTTTATAAAAAAAAATTCGGAAAAATATTACAACAAACATTGTTGCATATATTGTAAAAAAGCATCTGTGCCAATACTTTTTGCCGGTAGTGTATGTAATATTCTCCTCCAATAAAAACATTTCCAAAAAATATATTATTTCATTTTCATTTTGACTAGAATATTGATTTAATGTACAACAACTTTTGCAGTACCTTTGAAATAATATAGATATGTAAATACCTATGTAGGTACATCTTTAAATATGTATCTCCTTGAATTTGTGCTAAATGTAATGTACATATGTAAATATACATACACGTGCTGATTATACTTTTAAATAACTTTTACGACAGCGTTGTTAAAAAAAAAAATATACATAGGAAAAATATTCGAATAATTCTTAAAAAGTGAATTAAGTACATTGGACGGAATAAAACATATTTTTAGTAAAAAGTTGTTATCATACTTTTTTTGAAACAAAGAATGACCTAATTGCGCTCAAAAGATTTCTATTATAGCTCCACAAACCGTGGCATTTCTTTTTATGTGGAAATATAAATTTCGCATTAACCTATATATTTGTTAATCATCCGATCATTGAATGTCTTTATCTTTCTCATTAACAAATAAGAAACAGATTTTAAGTACACAATGTTTATTTTTTTTTTTTCAAAATTTTAATTTCTTCTGTAATGTATTCGCGTGTAGCTAATCGCTCAGATGGAGTGGCAGGTATCGTTGTTTTGTGGATAGACATACATAAATATGTAACTACATTTTCAATGCGTTGATTGAATTATTGCAAATGCATATGCCTAAATATTGACTTCAAATGTGTACAAGTGTCTACTCAAATGTTTACTACTAACCATACATATTTACTTTTGTGTCATTTATGAACCATTAGAGTAATAAATATTTTTCGTAAATGCAGCATAGGGTATAGATATTGATATAACTATTTACATATGTACATAATGTAAGTACATGCACATTGGTACATAAACTATTGCATACAATGCATTTATGGACTCTGTTCCACCCAACGCAGTCGTGCAAATAAAAGTACGCATGCGTGCACTTCTTAAAAGCAACACATTGAGTGACAACTTACATCTAATACCCTGCCTTAGATGTGATGCCGTCCAAAATAAGTTAAAGTTCAAAATTTTGCAGCTGGTCGATGGGCGGTTTTGAAAAAACATCGACGATATGTAGAACAGCTGTGAATATTTGTGGACCTGGCACTTAACTTCCTACATATTGCAATTGCCAGATGACCGACCCTTTTTCAGACAAAGGCGAAAGCAATCCTGACCTCCGTCAGAATAATCCTTAAAAATGGTTTGAAAGACACTTTCATAGTTATTATAGAAAAATCCGATTTTTATAACGAACTTTAACCACGTTCGCATATTTTGCGGACTGGACAATATTCAAATTCTCATCAGATTTGATTATCATATGTATGTGTAAACTAACGATTTATATTTTAATAAATACATGCATATAAGAAATTGTATGTAACATAATAAGAATGTAGAAAAATTTACTTTATTTCTTTTATTCACAGTGTTACCGCAATGAGGGTTCAACGCCTTTTCGCCCTTCCATGCCAAGCTTAGTTAAATATAAAAGTGAAATACGCAAAGATTTCTTTGAGGATATCGGAGGAGTAGTGGGTGTGTACGTAAATATTCATAGCTTAATGTAGTAAAATGTAAAATTAAGACTGGAATTACGAAGGAGATTGCGAAGATGTTTTTAGATCCCAAATTAATTTATTACCATTACAGATTTTGACTTGAACCAAATTAGAATGGGCCCTTTCTTTATTGCGTTCTTTGTTTTGTTTGAAACCATCAAATGGATAGCGCTATAGTTTACTTATATTATACTAAAGATGATCTTTATCATTTTTGCTTTTGTACAGTCATGGCGAACCCTGGCGTCAATTTCGTTCAAGAGTACAAAAGCCGGTACTACAGTTATCAACGATCAGACGGTATTTGGAGCCCCTGGAAGTGGTGACAAATGATTTTCTAAAACGCTGTGAACAACTGCTAGACGAGAATTCAGAATTACCAGAGGACTTTGATAACGAAATCCATAAATGGTCGCTGGAGTGTGAGTGAAGAAATCTTTCATTAGGAAACCTTTAGTTTTTTGGATTCGTAATTTCATTACCTCTATGTTCAACAAAGCATTATTTTCTCTTCCATTTTACAGGCATCGGAAGAGTTGCTCTCGATACAAGACTCGGTTGCTTAGAGCCTAATCTATCGCCAGAGTCCGAGCCGCAACAGATAATCGACGCAGCAAAATATGCACTGCGCAATGTGGCTACACTTGAACTGAAAGCTCCATATTGGCGTTATTTTCCCACACCTTTATGGACGCGTTATATTAAAAATATGAACTTTTTCGTGGAGTAAGTAGCTTTTATTTTTAACTTTTAACTTTTATTTTTTTAACATCCAAAACAGGGTTTGTATGAAGTACATCGGCAATGCCACAGAACGTTTGAAGCAGCAGGGTCCAAGTTGCGACGGCGAACCATCCTTGCTCGAGAAAGTAATTCTTGCGGAGAAAAATGAGAAAGTAGCCACAATCATGGCGTTGGATTTGATTCTAGTGGGCATAGACACAGTAATGAAAATTTACCAAACTTTAAAGACTCTTTTGTAATTAAGAGACATTGCTTTCTCTATCTACGTATGTACTTAGATATCAATGGCCGTTTGTTCCATCCTCTATCAGCTTGCAACGCGCCCTGCCGAACAAGAAAAAGTGCGTGAGGAACTAAAACGGGTATTGACTGATGCAGATACTGAACTATCCATTCAACGACTTGAACAGATGCACTACCTAAAAGCGTTTATTAAAGAGGTATTCCGCATGTACAGCACAGTAATTGGCAATGGTCGCACGCTGCAGGAGGATACAGTCATCTGCGGCTACAGGATACCCAAAGGCGTGAGTAGTTTATAAAATTTCCGAGTACAGTGTATTTCCAATTTCAATTACAGGTGCAAGCGGTTTTCCCCACACTGGTTACCGGGCAAATGGATGAATTTGTCTCAGATGCAGCAACCTTCAAACCTGAGCGTTGGTTGAAAGCTAGCCAAGGTGGCACTGGTGACCATTTGCATCCATTCGCATCGCTGCCTTATGGGTATGGTGCGCGAATGTGTTTGGGCAGACGTTTCGCAGACTTAGAGATGCAAATTCTGCTGGCTAAGGTGAGTTGAAGTTAGGTAGGCAGAGTAGGGATTTAGAGTCCTCAATTTTTTCTTTAATATGCTAAAAGTATTTAGGTAATAAAATAGTTTATACTCGCACGAGCTATAGCTTTCTTACAAGCTTTTATTATATCACGCCTGTGTGTAATCAAATCTTGCAATCAATTTTTAACCAACTTCCCGATGAGCTAGAGTCTTGAAACTTAGCACAGAACTCGATGACATTTCAGTGTGAAAGATTAATTAATCTGCTAGGTGCCGCAGGTATCCAGATATTTTTAAAAACGCATATTTATGGCCCGATATGGTTCATATTTGGAATATATTGCTAGTATAGTATGGAAAGGGCGTAACTCACATTGTCACTCGAATACAAAAAGCCGTAACTAACTAAAAATCCAAAATTCACTTTTGATTGTTTATCCTGCATTTCGTCGACTCACATATAAGTCCCAACCTGGTTTTATGCAACAATAATTTTAATTAGTTATAGCTTTTTTGCATTTCAGCGACGATGTGAGATACGCCCTTTCCATACTATACTCAGGATTGCCACTAGTTATACAAATAACCAACCAAAATCTGAAGAAAAAACAAACCAAATTGAAAAAATACCAAATTTGTTATCCACTAATCTATGACAAAAAGCACAACTTATTACAAAAGACAAAAATTGAACAATTTGATTGAGCTTAATGCCGGGTTTTTTGATTAAAATTTTGTAGAAAAACAACATTCTGCCTTATCCTGAGTTTTGCCTGAAAAAAACAAATTCAACCGAAAATTTATCATTCGCCCATAGTAAAACTATGGAAACGAAGAGTGAAAAGTGGTTCGGGGAAAATTAAACTTATGATAAGGCTTATTAATTTACATTTTGGTAGAAGTTATAGCTGTTATTTTGGAAATCAAAAATTATTGAAGTATTTGTGCCTTCCATCACATATTTACTTTTTATATGCGCATATAAATATGTTACATTAAAAATAGTAATTTGAAAAATTCATTTATGGCATTCAGTATTCAATAATTTCTAATAAAAACAAGTAAGAAAGTCTAAGTTCGGGCGGAGCCGAACATTAAAT